CGAGGCCTTGCGGTTCAAGGAGGGGCGGCCAGCGCCGGCGCTCGGAAAAACAAAGCGGCCAGGAATTACTCACAGGCAGCGGAATTTCATGCCTGTAAACTCGAAGGGAAGCCTCAGTGCACTTACTTGAGAATTAGCCGCTCTGAACTACGCGGGACTTCCTCATGAGTTGGTCTTGTTCAATGCCACCAACGGGCTTTAGATTAGACCGTAAAGGGGGGGGGATTCAAGATATGCGAAACGTTCTTTATTGATTCATATCAAAGCGTTACTCAGTTTTATATTACGGACGCATATGAAATATAGGTAAAAACAAAATATATTGAAATATTAAGAGAATTACACTTTTTTGACCAGAAGAATATTGAATACTTCAATAGCAGTATCTCTGCCATTTGTTAGATTTTCTTTTGTACACATGGTGGGTAATAAATTGCATGTACATCAGTACTGCCTTGATTGAACTTCTCCACAGTCACAGAAAATTTGTCCTGTATCCAAGTAGACTCATTATACTTTATTATTACAGTAATTGATCTTCCTACTCCACTTCAGAGTCTATTAGGTTAGGGTTGCTAAGTGATTAAAGTCTACTAAGTGTTTTCCAGATGGTCCATCTAGAGCAGGGGTGTCCAAACTTTTTACAGGGAGAGGCCACATAATACATTTGTGATATTTTTGAGGACCAAAGGAAACTTGTTTCATTCATTATTTGCTAGCACTTCTCAACAGACTTCTGAAAGGACAATGCCAGCCAAACAAATACTTTCTCAGTGGAGGTAGGTTTCAGGCAGCCAGTAATAATCTTGCATGATTCATTAAGAGCTATGTCCACATGTTTAGCATGTGGTGATTTGTACCATGTGGCTCAAGCATATTCCGCTGTGGACTAGCACAAGAACAAAACCGTTGTTCTCATTGTTCGTGGGTGTGCACCTCAATCTGACCCAGCCAGTTTCCTAAATGTGTTATTGTTGGCAACAACTTTCTGTTCAGACAATTTTTTGTAGGTCAGGGTTCAATCTAGAGTGATGCACAAATATTTTGGGGTAGGGCAGTGTTCCAAAATCTTGTCTTCCCAACTAACTCGGAGCTTCCTCTCCACTTCTCTGTTTTTTAAGTGGAAAACACCAACCTGTATTTTTAAAGGGTTTGGTTTCAACTGGCTTTTTTTTACAATAAAAGGAAAGATCTTGTAAGGCAGAAGTTAGCTGGTGCTCAAATGTTTTCTTTTGGACTGTCCAGGCAAGATCATCAGCATAGATGAAACCTCCTTTGGACTGTCAGCATAGATGAAACTCATAGAGTATGGGAATGTTGGTTGATCACTGCCTTTGGAAGTATGCAAAATTGTACTCTTAGTTACCTCCTTAAGAATTTAGGTACAGTTCTATTTCACACCCAGCTGACAGTGAACTTCCCCCCTCCTGGAACTCAGCACAAAGGTCCTTCACTTCCAGGCAGATGTACATGGAGTTGCAGTTTGCACTGTAAATCAATGGGGTGTGTTGTCATGGAAGAAACCCAGAATTTGTACATCACAGTATAGAAAATGTACGTATGTTTGTTTGTTTGTTTGTTTTTACCCTGTCTTTCTCCTTAAAATGACCCAAGGCAGCTTACAACATTAAAAGGACAATATTTAAAAGTTAAAAACAGTAAATATAAAAATATACAAACAGTGACTATACAAATGGCATCATATGTTACAGTACAGCTCTTTGTCTCAAGATTAGGATGTCATTCTGAGAGGAAGAAAAAGACTGTTGGTGCATGTGGTTTCCTTCTCACAATTCTCCAGCAGGGATAAACTCCCATAAGATTGGAATGGGTCAGAAGATCTCTTCTTCTCAATGGAGGAGAGATCAGCTGAGCAGGGAAGACAATCAGAAGCAACAATGAGGAGGTGGAAGAACACATCACCACCACCAGCACCACTGCCATGCCTCCTGTGAACTGCGATTTCCAGAGGTTGCTTTTCATTCCGCATTATCCCATTATGTCAATCTCTATCCATCTGACCTTGTATACTTTTGAGCATATTGGATAGTCAATTCGCTTTTCCTCCTTTCAGCACCATCACAGCTAGTGGATACCTACTGTAAATACTGTCCTGCAGTGCCCTTTGACAAATTGGGATGGCAGGTTTACCTACTGTAAATACTGTCCTGTAGTGCCCTTTGACAAATTGGGATGGCAGGTTATCAGTGGGTGGTAGGTAGCAAGGTCGTGGTGACGTGACTTCGGTTATTGTGGGATGCTGAGAATCCATTCTAGAGTTTAGCCTGCAATTTAGAGGAGCTATCAAAGTTGCTGGGCCCTATCCCACAGGCTCAGCACCGTTGATACCATCTGTAAAGTGGGGACTGAAACCCTCCAAGACAACAATGACCGCAGCAAGGGAGAGTGGTGTGCCATTTGGCAATCTGTAAAGTGGGGACTGAAACCACCACCGTACCTCCAAGACAACAATGACTGCAGCAAGGGAGAGTGGTGTGCCATTTGGCCTGCTCTGAGTCGGACACGATTAAATGACTAAATGAACGACCATTCAAGGGAAAAAGGCACAAGCTGAACTGTTTATACAAGAAGAGTCGGACGCGATTAAATGACTAAATGAACGACCGTTTAAGGGAAAAAGGCACAAGCTGAACTGTTTACTGGCTGCTCTGAATTAGACTGGACTGAACATTTTACTTCTGCCTGAATGGAAATGTAAGAAGTTATTTGCATGTCAGATTCTTCCTTCTTTTTTGTTGAAGCTCAGCCACAAGGACCAGTGATCACTACACACAAAAGACCAGCTAATGACATCCATCAATCACAGTGACAGATAATCTCTCCTCCTTATCACAACAAGAACACACTGATCACCATAATCACCCATCTTCTGAAAAGGACAAAAACTGATCCGACAACTATAAATACTCTACTCCCAAACAAACTGCACCAGAGCACAGAGTGTTACTCCTGTTCTCCAAAGATGCCGGCCACAGAGACTGGTGAAACATTAGGAAGAACAACCTTCAGAACACAGCCAAAGAGCCCAAAAAACCCACAACAACCATTAGATCCCGGCTGTGAAAGCCTTCATGAATACAAATAATTGTTTTCCCTGTCAGCTTTACCATCCAACTTTCACACCCATATATGGTGATTGGAAATACTGTAGAAGAATATAGATGATCTTTGTGGCGTAATGGTTAAACCACTGTACTGCAGCCAAAACTGCTCATGACCTGGGGTTCAATCCCAAGTAGCTGGCTCAAAGTTGACTCAGCCTTCTATCCTTCCGAGGTCAGTAAAATGAGTACCCAGCTTGCTGGGGACGCAATGTGTAGCCTGCATAATTAACTTGTAAACCGCCCAGAGAGTGCTTGAAGCACTATGGGGCGGTATATAAGCAGCACGCTTTGCTTTGCTTTTGATCTCCTACATTCTTACACTTAATTATATTTTTGAATTACTTCATTGCTATCCTTCCATGACTTAATCTTCTTCTGATGTCTTGGTTGCAGTCTCCATTTGGATTCATGGTTGGACTAAGATATACAAAATCTCTAACAATTTCTGTTCCTTTATTGTTAATCCCAAAGCTGTGTAGTTCTGTAGTAATGGGTTTTTTTGTCTTCTTAACGTTCCATGTACAAATGTTTATCTTCTTAACATTTTATGTATGAATGATATTCTAGGTTTTATGAATGCACAATTTCCCAGTGTGTAATATGCTCAGGATGTCTTATGAGAGTTGTTGTTGTTAATGCTTTTGCTGCTGCCACCACTTTTCACTGCCACTTTTCATTGCTGTTTAACCATGCTGCTTTTTGCCAAGATTGAAACAATATAGATAAGTGCGATATCCAGCACAAGCAAGGGGATAGCATCTCTCCCCACAGGATTACAAAAGACAGGAATTTAATCATCATCATCCTCAAGCAGTGGATCTTGTTGTGAAGGAAGTGCCCTTGATCTATATTTTAAAAAAAGAGATGGATAAGAAGCATAAAGAGCAACCCTTTGTGTTATGAACATGCTGGATCCACACAAGAAGTCGTATATTTTCCTTGTCCTCATCCTATTAAAAAGTGGGGCAAAGTAATGTTTTATAGTACTATATTAGCATGTAACTGAGAGTTCAGCAAATAGTGGGCAAGATCTTCAACTATGATAAATATCCTATGGGGCAGATCTGGCTTGGGATTCAGATCTGGGTTTTTCCTTCTATCACTTGGGGGAACATTTTTTTCCTCTGGTCGCTAATCTAAGATCTGTAGCAGTTACTGCACAATCCTATACATATCTGCTTAACAGGAAATCCCTTCCATTCTACAGAGCCTACTTCCACATAAGGGGAAGGCAACCTTGCATCCTCAGGTCATTATGATCACAAGTTAGCTCCCACAAGCATGGCCATTGGTCTGAGATAAGAGCTAGACTCCTGAACATTTGGAAGTCGTTTTTGTCAGCATCTGTGGGTTGCAACATGATCACCACTATAGCTTTAATCAGGTCTACTGAAGCTGAGGTTCCAGTACTTTGGCCATCTCATGAGAAGAGAAGACTCCTTGGAAAAGACCTTGATGTTAGGAAAGTGTGACGGCAAGAGGAGAAGAGGACGACAGAGGAGGAGATGGTTGGATAGCGTCATGGAAGCTACCGACATGAATTTGACCCAACTCCGGGAGGCAGTGGAAGACAGGAGGGCCTGGCGTGCTCTGGTCCATGAGGTCACAAAGAGTCAGACACGACTAAACAACTAGACGACAATTGACTTTATTTAGGAATAATCATCCTGTTCCTATAAAACTTTTGGGTTTTCCTTGCATACTTCGTGTGGGAACGCTTATCTCCCAGGTTGCCAGCTGCATTTCTGTTGTAGTGATGAGCACACT